GCGGGCGGTGGGGGGAAAGGAGGGGAATAAACAGCAGCTCTTACGAGAGTCTGAGCAAAGCCTCTCTTCAGACCATAAATTGCCCTTTGCTTTGGCTCTTGGGGTGACAAGATGTCTACAAGACGTGCATACAAGTCTGGAGTGTGGTTTATGCATTAACTAAATGCTCATTTTCTGTCTTACAGTTTGCACGGATTTGCTGGCTTGTTGGTGCCAGCACATCAGACCCTGACTGAGCAGCTGAAGTGGGGACGTGAAGCAGGCAAAATAAGTAGACTTGCATCCTGGAGCTTCAAGGTTAATATTTACAGTCTGTGCCCCATCTCTGAGTGGATTTTAAAATATAAAAGATACAAAATATAATACAGTTGTCAACCAGATGATTTTAACTTAACTGAACTACCTCTCATTACCACAGAAGGGTAAAGCCTGGGGATTGTTTTGGAGAGGCTGAAATCTGATGAATCTGAATGTGATCAAAAAGTTTAGAGAGGGATGACATATCACGATGTGAAGGAAAGCTGGGAATTGCCTAATAACCGCAAACAGTGAGCAAAATGATTATATGCTGTGAGGCATTACGTGTAATCGCTTCTGGTTTGAATCTAATCAAACATCATGTGCAAAGGGTGTCTCAGATCCTCCAGACTATCCGAGCAGCAGTATAAAAGCGCGCGCTGCTCACGTCTCTCCCAACAGCTTCTCCTGACTTCTCCTCTGGGACTTGAGTAAGTTTTTAATTCTTTGTGCCTTTTTCATATGCTCTTTTAGTAACTCTAACTGAATCCTACATAAATGTCTGCCATGGCACTAACAGGGCTAGCCTCTCCGTAAAAGCAGCTTCTGATCCTGCAGAGAGCTTGGGGCTGGCATTATCCAGCTTCTTGAGGGAATACTGGAGTCCTTGCTCCGTGCTTCAAGGATTCGTGACTTTTAGTTCCTAAATTAGCATAGAAATGAGCTGCAGCCTTATCTTGGCTTTAGTAAAAGGTGAAGCTCAGTTTTGAAGCCCTGTGTGACAGGTGGTCCTGTAAATCCTGTCCTACAGGTTAACTACTGAGAAAAGGGGGCTGGGTAGATGGTCATTGGCCTCATGAAGTACAGAAACGTTTGTGCTCCTTTAGAAGAGAACACAACTGAAGCAAGCACTGCTTGTGATGTAGCCCTTCGGGATATGTTCTGACACCTTATGTATAGATAAGTCAAAAGTGTAGGTTGTTTGATGTACACAGGAAGGTTAGGAAGAGTTAAGAGTCTGGCAAGGACAAAAGATAAATGTACCTCAGAGAGTGTGACTAAAAGGAGGGAAGAGAGAGCCAGGAACTACGAAGCCACATCACCTCTGTTCAGGAAGCTACTCAAGTGGGTAGCTTCCTCATCAAATATGCCCAAGTGCCTGAACATAAATCGCTGACCTAGCGTTGAACTGCTTTACACATAGTCTTCTGTCTTTCTGTGTTTCAGATCCACTTCCACTACAGGACAATGTCCTCCTACAGACAGCTGTGCAGCTACCAGTGCTCCACACCATGCGAGGTGGCCTGCCCGCAGCCCTTCGCCAACGCCTGGAACGAGCCCTGTGTCACATCATGCGGTGACTCCAGGGCAGTGGTCTACCCACCCCCTGTTGTCATCACTTTTCCTGGGCCAATTCTCAGCTCCTGCCCTCAGGAAAGCGTAGTGGGATCCTCAGCACCAGCTGCCATCGGGAGCTCACTTGGCTATGGGAGATCTTATGGCTACAGAGGCTCTTTTGCTTATGGGGGATCACAGGAAAGCAAGTTCTTATACCCTTATTGTTCTCAGGGGTTCAGTGGTTATCGCTTTAGAAAGTCTGAGCCCTGCCAAACCCAGCAGGAAGATGCCTGCACCAAGAGCAGTCAGGATACTGAATGCAAGATCCAAACTCAAGAGTAAGATGGATTTTTAAGAGGCTGACATAAAAATGCTTGATTCTTGTTAACACTTTACCTTGTATTGTACTTGTACCTGCTTGGGTACTTCTCCTTTCTTAGCTAGAAATGTGTTCTTCTATTCTTCTCACGGTCCAAATTTTCAAATGCATTAGTACTCCTTCTACATTCAACCTAATAACATCATACAAGAAGCATAATGGAAGAGTTTGTATATTGTGATTTCTCCCACTTGATGCTGCCTGGTATCAATCAAGAGTTACGTTAACAGACGAAAACTGGACTGCATCATCAAACTTACAGCTACGAAAGAAGAAAAGAACACTGTGCTTGAAATGAAGCTTCCTGAAACAAGAAACCTCATTTGTAAAAGCCTCAAATTCCTCATTTTCTGTATGATCATGTTTTGCTTTTGTAAACTTTCCTCCTCTATCACCCATTAAAAAAAAATCACGCTGCATCATAATTTTAGCATTCTGGTTTTGCTTTCTGTCTGTTTTTATGAAGTAACACAACTGAGAGAATCTCCTGTGCAGAGTGTCTGTGCTTCAATCCTAGTTAAGCCCTGTAGTAAGAGGGGAGCAAAGACCTTAACCGATCAAACCCACCCCCTTAGTCCTCTACCCAACAATGAGTTTTCCCATGTCATATGCCTGCTTTAGACCTTGTACCGCACCAGTTTGCACTGCTAGAAAATTACTGGAGACAGAGAACAATACAGGGAATGGAAGGGAGGCTTACCATTATTTTCATGCCCAAACACATGCATGCAGGAAGTATAACAAGAGAGCATACGGCACTTACTGGAAAGTCACAGCTAGCCGAGCACATCTGCCACAGCATACAGCACAGGTAACATCCAGCTGTCCATAGAAAGACATAGTTGGTTATATCTTCACTGCATAGTCAATCCTCCCCATCTACTTGTACTTAAAACACTGTATAGTACCCCAGATCTGGAATGCCAGTGAGGTGCTGAGAAGAAAGGCTGGGTGCTCTGCAGTACTCTGCTAAATGGGGTTAATGTAACAGTGAGCAACAGCTGAGGGGCTAATTGCTCTATTTACCTTGAAGCAATGTTTTTATTGCTTCCAGCTGGTCCCTGAGCACTGCTGGATCACTGCTCCCTATGTATCGAGAACTCTCTAGATCTATTTTCCTTTATTGCAGCCTTCTTCTGGTTATCTAAGTTGCTCTTTGAAATGTGACTCTGCTGACCTTCTTTAGTCTCCAATTTCTGCTTCCCTGTTTCTTAGGATTCTGCCAGGAAGCTCCTTCACTTTGCACAGTAATAAGAAGTTAAGCTAGCAAAGATATCTGCTCTTGGACATTTATTATCCCAGCTGAGGCAGTTTCATGATCTCAGAAAGCTAGATATGAAAGTACAGAGCGGATTCAAGTTTCCTGTATCTCAGACTGGGATTTCATCACTAGCTTATTTTCTGTCTCTGAATGTCTCTGGGAAGTTCCCTCTGTTGCTGTGTACTGTCTAATATTCTCTCTTTATTTCTCTATATAGAATTATAGCATAATCTAATATTCCCTTTTTATTTCTTTATGGTATATGGAATTACAATAGTTCTAGTAAAAAGTCACAGAAAGGCAGGAGAAGTAAGGATGAGCTATTAGAATACTTTTGGAGTGGCTATTTAGTACTTCACGCTGGTCTTGAAAATTTTATCTGAGGGTTGGGTAGTTCTCTCACACCTTGTTCCTTGTAAAGATTAAATCAGGCACACAGGCAAGCTCTGCATGTTGTAAGCAGAATTTCCTGATGAATGAATCCATAGGCATTATATAAACACTGTCTGTAAAAGCATAACACTCATCTACAGATCTCTAAGATAAGGGGATGGTTTGATTCAGTTGGTTTTACAGAGGTTGCATTACCCCAAAACAGAGAAGAAAGCAAACAGATGAATGTTATTTGGATGCAATTATAAGTGTTTATTGGGAGCAAGAAGTGTACATTTTAAGCAAAGTAAAGGACAAATACAGGATGGATTTCAGTGTTTGAAAAAAGGGCCAACTTAATAGTCTGCATCAAACTGATATATTTTCAGCATATTGTTCTTCTTTCTTGGTTCAAGTTTCAAATGGACTGGACAAATCACAGCATAAGATGACATCTATGGAGCTTTCCTATTAGACATACGGGTATGAAAATAAAAAAAATACCAAAGAAAAAAATGCATGGACCGGTGATTTTCAGTGATACTAGCGCTTTAGTGCTGTAACAGTAAGAAACAGATTTTTTGCATAATCAGTAATTTGGTTTCCAGGAATGGAAAAGACACATTTTGAGAAAACTGACATCAAAAGCAAATAGAGCAGGAGAAGGGCAAGCAGAAGAGCCATTCCCATGGGTGCTGAGCAGCACCCATAGGTTCCCACTGCTTCAGAGGGCCATGCTCCTCTGCTCAGCTGCACGTCCAGGTCTTGTTGTCAGTTCCCCCGCTGTTTCTCCTGCCATTTCTGCCATGCTTAGCATGGCCCACAGCACAGCCCCCGCTGGCTCCAGAGCTGGCTGGAGGAGGAGGAGGACAAGGAGCCCCCGTAGACAAGGGAGCCCTGCAGGCCCCTGGGGCGGCCCAGCCCCAGGGGGGACGAGCTGCCCACAAAGCTCTCCTGAGGGCAGGAGCTGAGGATGGGACCTGGGAAGGTGATGACCACGGGTGGTGGGTAGACCACGGCACGGGAGTCCCCGCAGGAGGTGACGCAGGGCTGGTTCCAGGCGTTGGTGATGGGCTGTGGGCACGCCACCTCGCAGGGTGGGAAGCAGCGGGAGCTGAGCTGCTGGCTGGAGAAGGACATCCTTTGGGCAGGGAGGCGAACCTGCAATACACCAGGGAGCCTGAGTCAACCCACCGCTCACGAGCCGCCACGCAGACCACCCTGCTCTGCCTCGCCAGCAGCAGGGAGGGCTCAGGACGTGCCACACGCAGTTGCTCTGCTAAGGCTTGGGTGCTTTTGCTCTCTCTTTCTCTTCCCCCTTCCCCACCCTCCTTCCTCCCTCCCAGGCAGCTCCTCTGTGCTCTCCCAGGCTCTCCGCAAGCTGAGTGCTGCCCAAGCCAGCTGAGAAGCTGTGCCCAGGTGCACCAGTCAGTTCACCCTGAGCTCAAGAGTAAAAGCACCCAGACTGAGCCCCATCTTGACTGAGCCCCTCTGACCTGTTGTAGCAGCTGCAGTGCACCTTGGACAGATCTGCAGCTGCCTTGTTTGCCAGTGAGGATATCAAGGAAAAAGGTCTTCATGCAAAGCTAGGTTCAGACTGCGTGTGCAGGAGTTGGTTAAAAATAACATAAACCCACAGTACCTAAAGATAAAAAAGATAACGAAGGGATCAGACTTACTTGGATCTATGAAGAGGAGGAGCGAGGACCTGTGTTCTGAGGACTTCTGAGCCAGAAGCCCTTATATACCATCTCCTGGATTGCCTGGGGGGGTTGAGACATCCTTTGTGTTTCAGGTTTATTTTGTTGCAAAACACAACAATGCACTTCACTCCCCTGGTTTCTATGATTGTTTTATTCATCTTTGGACAATTAGCAGTTTCTTCCAACACCCTCTTGTTTCTTCCTTGAACTTTTTGAAACAGTTTCACTTCCTGCAGCATTTTGCTGATTTTACTAATGTGACAAAAATGTTGGAAAACTACATTATTTACGCAACTGCTCCACATCGCCAGTACTCCTCGGTATCACAAGTAGCGCAATGCGCTGTGGGCTGATTTGCTTCTCTAAATCCCTGCTGATAGTGAGCTGAAGCACTGTAGTGCTTATACTTGGAGTAAAGATGGGAGATTTACTCCATCTCCCTTGTTCCTCATCCCAGCTACACACTGCAAGTCTGATACAGCACACTAAATCACAGAGGTGACTTGTTTTGTGAACTCTTGCAGATTGTATTTTCTTTTGCCTCTGAACAGAAAACCACAACCACACTCCCGTGTGGTTCGCACCACGGTCCCGATTTATGCAGGCTAGCACATCCTTCTGGATGCGACAATATCATGACTCTCTGTCTGATGCGAGGAAAACCCTTCAATAACTATTGAAATAGTAAGGTTTCTTTTTACTTGGGTGCGAATAGAATAAAGCAAGACAATCCACTAAAGTCACACAGGGGAGCGGGATGCTTTACCCTGTGTTATGGGACACCTGGGGTTGGGGTCTAGCCCCATGTGCCTCCTTTTGTCCCCAAGGAGAGACCCTACTGCAAGAGCAGACCCCAGGGGCCGTGGCTGAAAGCAGAGGGACTGAACACGAAAATCCTAACTCCTACAGGAGATGGTTGCAATGCCCCACCTCGCTTGGGTTTTTGCAGTATCCTCAGTGATTCAGTGTCTCAACACTGACCTGCACCAGGACAGGAAAGGGATTAAAAGTCTTGCCTATTCCTTGCATTCCCAGAGAAAATTTAATAATCGTCCCCAAGAAGGCAAAAATATATCCAGAGTTAAAACGTTGTAACGAACCTAGAGTATAAAAACAACTTCAGAAACAGAAGCTTCAGTGTCTGTAAGAGAAAAATAATAGACATACTGCAAATCTGGGGAAGCCAGCTGAGGGATTTCTAAGAAGGAAGAACCTGGCAGATACTGGAAATCTGGGCTGAGTAATACTTGCTAACAGTAAGGAAACTATTTGCAAGAATGAGGAGTTGAGAAGCGATGTGTAATCTGTGTGTTTGGGAGCTAATTAAGACCTTGTTCACAAGGTGTCATAGACCAGTGGGCAGCCCAAGAAAGGGTATAAAAAGGGTTCACAGCACAGACAGCCTCAGACTTGCTCTTTACTTCTCCTCTTTGGTGTCTTGAGTAAGTTTGACCCCACTTAATCTTTCTGACTTAAAGCATTGCGCTTGAGTAGGTTTGACTCTCTCAGAAATACTCTGCTTGTCTTGCTTATGCTTCTTTTGCCTTGAAAACGCAGTCCTTTCCCAGGCTTTGGTAGGTGTAGTGGTTTTTGCTGCAAAACCTGGTGACGGGTCATCTCCAGCTTGTTTGCCACAGGTGACTTTGGGGGTGGCCAGCTTGGGCAGCACTCAGCTTGCGGAGAGC